GCATGGCGCCGCTCGTGTCGCCCACCTGCTACTCGCCCCATCTCCGTCCTTCGCCCCTCGCCACGATGTGCTCCTCTTCGCGGCTGTCTCCTTCACTTCCTTCGTACCTTATTTTACTCCCCTTTCTCCTTTCCCATTTATTTTTTCTGTCTTTTCCTCGGTAGTAGAGAGCTCCTATTCGCTACTCAAACTCCCGCTCGGTTTTGACGTTCCTTCTTTTCTTGTGTGGTATCTTTCTCCGCTTCTATTATCCAAGTCGTTAATTCCATCTGGTGAGCTGCTTATCATGTGAATTTCTTTTTGTACCAGCAGTGCCTGCATTCGGAGCAGTGTCATCTGTTGGTTTGCTCCCCATCATTCATACATAATTATTCATATGCATTATATTTCCCTCCAATTAGATTTTCTTATCGTCAAATCCATTATCTTATACCGTTTTCTTCGCCCCACGTAATTTTTTACCCTCGCTCCCTAATACAGTTGAGTACTATAACTGTATTAGTGAGCGCCGAAGGTAGTACGTAACGCCTTCAGGGACACAAAGTTCACTAAACCCTAAAAGATACTAAACGACTAGAATACTTTTAAGTTTATTTTAATATTATTACGTGTGCCGTGTGACAACGACAATAATCTCCATAAATGAATATTGTTTTGAGGAAATTACGTCATTCTCGACGGACAAAAACTGATATATTTTTCAAAAAGCATGATAAGTGAAACGAGGGGCAATAAAAAGTAAAATTTTGTTCCCTTGTAATCCCAAGAAGTTTTTCACTGGTTCTTCTCCTATTTTTTATCCTCACACTAGTATTCTCCGTTTTTCTCTTCGATCGCTCTGCGCTCCCTCTTTCCCTCGCGTGTTCGGGGAGCGTGCCCCCGCCTATGCAGCGCGCGCGGTCTCCATTTTCCCTCATTGGCGGCGGCGGGCGGGCGGAGCGCCCCTGCAGCCGTCCCCCGCGCGGCGCGGGAGGGCGATCGCCTCTTTCGGGAGCGGCCCCCGGGGACGCGACAAATTTCGGGCCACCGCCGGCGAATTACGCGGGAGAGAGAGACCTCGGACGCCGGAGGTCGGGAACGCACTTTACCTTTACGGTCGAGTACGAGGGCACACGACGCGCGAACTTCGACGCTTCCAAGTGTACCCGTGTGTTATCGGGTCAACGGTACGCGGATCGTCGTGCGTGATCGATATGGGCTCATTATTATTATTCATATCTCAGCAATCAGGATTGTAATTGTTAAAATAATTGTTTCTATTATTTTTAATGTGATTGATGAGTTAAATTAATGTTTGAATATGCTTCTCTATCCCCATTAGACGTGGTAGGTTCATTTTATAACTAAGAAACATATCCTTTCCCGAAAAATCTAAAATAGAATTCTGAAAACAGTCGTTAAATCAACTGTGACTCTCAACTTTCTAGGCAATTTTGTAGCAAGTCTTCAGACGTTTTTAGTGTACAGTATTATTTGAACTTTTGATTGTATAAAGAACATACAAATAGAACTGATTTCCTGAATGGCCTATATATGAATTCTAGTATAAAAACAGATCTTTCAGTATTTCTTCTAAAAG